TACGATAAATATTCATTTATGAGGGAAATATTGCAATTTAATTTTATTACTCGCGTTACTTACGGCTGTTTCATTTTTCGGAAAATTTTTTGGAATCGATCCTAAGTTTGAAATAAACCTCGAATACTAATTTTCTGACCAATCTAACATAGTGTTCCATAGGTTACCAGCCCTATTTTACTAATGGTACATAGAAAAATATAGGCGGGATTACTTTAGTAGCAAGCGAACGAACCAATCATAGCCAAGACCTTAAAAATGGTAATTTTATGCTTTATCGATTCTCAATTGTGATTGATCAATTGGCTTATAGCTTAAGTCTTACTACGTACATTTTTTTAGTGTCACTAATTTTATATAAAAAACGCAGCTGTGTTGTTCTGCTTTGTTTTTAAATACAAAAATCAATATGAAAATGACAACTCTCATTATACACAGAACGTTTTCACGATATTTCTTTAATAAGATGTATATTTTCTTATCTTATATTATCGTAAAAATTACAACTCCCACATTCGTAATTTCGGATGATCCATTTATTTTATTGATTCGATTTAATTTTTTTAATTCTTCATTTAAAATTCTATTCAATATTTCTCCAATATATCTCTTCAATATTTCTTGATTTGAATTAACACGATTTTTTATTAATTATTATTACGTTTCTATATTATTTTTATAAATTTTTTTTATAAATTTAAACAATATGATATTTAATATATAAACAATATTCATTTTAAAACAAAAATGGTTCATTCAGGATCATTCAATCAAATCATTCAATTCTTTCACTGCTACACATCATATCAATATAATCTAACTACGAAAATGCATCGCGTAAATTTCGTTTTATTTTCGTAATTTTGTATAAATCAGCGATTTATACAATTCGTGATTAAGAAAAATCATAAGAAATATGGAAAACATTGGAATATCACAAACTTTGTATAACTTTGTATGAAATTCGGCAAACTTTGTTTCAAAGTTTCAATACGTACGGTGGTAGCATTACCGAAAACTGTTTCCAAATTTCGACTGTTTATAATGTCAACTATTTATCAGTTCTCTTATTTGTAACTCGAATTGGCTTTGCATCGAATCATCGATGCATATTTTATATTTTGCATTTTCTACGGCTTTCTACTTTTTTCTTTTTTGTAAAAAATTTATATCCCTACAAAAATAAGTAAAAATCACATTTTAATTCTCAACGAATTTCGTACTTTATATAAAAAAATATTATCATAATATTGGTATTATTTTCTCCGAACGAATGGTTTTGACGTCATAATTTGAATATATAAATATGAGCAAAATAGCTACATAATAAAAATAAAAATTGTGTTTTTCGTATAAATCTTGTAAAAACTGATATTTCCTTCATACGGATGATATTTCGATTCGTAGAGAAATTATACGAAATACGGGCATAGATCTTTCGCGAGTATGGTTGCTCGCAATATTAAATCCGCGGCAAATTAATCAAGCAAGTAACCAGAGCGCGGCTAATACGGGCTGAGCGCCAAATGCTGTTTCTAACATAATCGAATTTGCATTGTATCTCGCGCTGAGAGAGAATTTCAAATGTATCTCCGCCGTGTCGGTGCAAATAACTGACCACGCTAATCACGTAGTTCGTTCATGTATTCTAATATCGAACGTAATTTCCGCTATCGTACATCAAAGCATCGTACGCAAATAGAACAAGTTAGTCGCGGAAACATCAAAACAACATCAATATATGATTGTTTTTAACACATTATCGTGACGTCAAATTGATTCACTGATAGCATTTATTTGTGACGTCATCAGGACATCGGATGACGTAAAAATAACCTTTTTTTTTATAAATCAATTTATACATATAAGATACATTCACACAGAAATATAGACTGGAGTAATATTAAATAAACGTTATTTATTTAGAGAAAGAGAGAGAGGGGGGAGAGGAAGGGACGAGAGAACAATTTCTAATGCCAATCATATTGATGTAAAATTCATCGATTTAATATCATCTTGATGTTTCCGCAATTATCTTGTTATTGGATAAGCACAAAGACAATTTCCCTTAACGATGACTAATTCGATATCTAATCTAATTCCTCGGTATTGTACATATGGATCTTTTTTGATCTGTTTCAAATGTCTGTTTTCTTGTTAAAAATTGACAAGAAAAGTTATGTTTTTTGAAACTGATAAGAACAGATTTTCAAAAATTCGATAGAATTATTTCTTTTAGTGACAAATACTTTTCTTGTACAAGATATTGTACAAGATATTTTATCTCGGATAAAAAGTTATGTTTTTTGAAACTGATAAGAACAGATTTTCAAAAATTCGATAGAATAAATATTTCTTTTAATAACAAATGCTTTTCTTGTACTACAAGATATTTTATCTCGGTTAAAAAGTTATGTTTTTTTGAAGTATTTTTATGCCAAACTTATGGGTACACGTTTACGAAGTATCTATATGATTTTAAGAAAATTCTTCCATTCAGGAGTAAGAATTTTATGATTTCATTATTCACAAAGTAGCAACCAAGGCTTTATCACTCTATTTCGAGAAGCGTCAGGCATATAAGTACTTATGATTGAGCGTGTACAATACGTCTGAGTGTATTACATTCAAAGTTTTTAATTTTTGCTGATAAAGGTGCAGTTCGCTGAAACGACTTTAGGAAGCGCTTCGTTTCGGACCAGATAATACTGCTTAATTGACGAGCACATTATTTCGGACTGATAATGCTGCTTAATTGGCCAGCGGAAAACAATGTGTCATGCGCGTTTATTATCTGTCAGTATATTCGATTATATCGCATATGAAAAATCGCAGAAATCTGTATCCGTATGATTAAATGTCAATTAAACTGCAGACTGAACGATAAAAACTTTGCCATTGTTATCTATAAATTTATTTGTCATTTGCAATTATCAGCGAATTAAATTCAGGAAGCAATACCTGAGTCGGAGA